AGGTGGGAATTATGTGAAATTTCTAAGAGCCCAAAAACAAAGAATAATTCTATTTTGAGAAATTGAATGATTTTTAAAGATTATGACATGACTAATTTACTTGCAACACACTGTTCACTTCGTAATTTTGCCGCATTCCGTTCAAAGCTAGCTTGTTTACAACTGCTCATATTTTTACATGTATGAGCTTCAGGTAATCTATGGTCTTTGCAAAAGTGCGTATCACAATATTTACAATAACCAATCGTTGATTGTTTAGAGCCACATTTATCATATTTACACGACTTTTTGATTTTACCACCACCTCGTAAACGAAGTACTAAATGTAAGGTTGATTCCTTTTGAATATTATAATCACCGAGGGTTCTTTCATCTTCCAACTGTTTTCCGGCAAAGATTAAACGTTGTTGTTCTGGAGGGATTCCTTCCTTGTCTTGAATTTTTTGTTTGACTTGGGTGATGTTATCCGAACTTTCAACTTCCAAAGTGATGGTTTTACCGGTGAGCGTTTTTACGAAAATTTGCATGCCACCTCTTAAACGGAGTACTAGATGAAGAGTTGATTCTTTTTGAATATTATAATCCGAAAGAGTGCGCTCATCCTCCAACTGTTTTCCGGCAAAGATTAAACGTTGTTGATCCCCAGGTATTCCTTCTTTATCCTTGATTTTTTCTTTTATTTGTGAGATGGAGTCGTTACTTTCAACTTCCAAAGTGATGGTTTTACCAGTAAGTGTTTTTACAAAGATTTGCATATTGAAGAAGGTAATGAAGAAAATTTTTTTAGTGTATGAGAGGATATTACGATGAAAGGTTCCAAAAAATTTTTAAAAAATAAATTTTTTTTTTTTTTTTTTTTTTTGAAAAATTTGTTCAAAGGGTGGGTTTGGAAAAGGGGATATTTATAATACAAAAAAAAAAAAATCGACAAGTGAATATATTGTTAAACTAAAAATATAAATAGTTAACTAGCATTTAAATACCGGTAATGCCTTGTATAAAGTCGGTTAATGTGGTGCTGTCTCCTTCAAACTCCAGATTTGGTAATCAACAATTGAAACTCGATTGGATATCAATTAAAAACGAATATGCAAAATGATGACGAGTCTTGTTCTTTATACGTCATTGATTTGTTGTGATCTGCGATATATTAATGAGCTGAACAAATATATATATATATATATATATATATAATTAGCCTCGATTTTCGGTCCTCATTATAAATTCACCATAACAAATAATTGTGGCGGAAAATGATGATTGTTTTCTGATTATTCCATTTAATATTCTTTTTCTATGCACCTCTGCACCGTAGTTCATCGTGTAACAAATAAACAATTCTTTCTTTGTCAATAAGTACTTACTTTTTAATCCATTCTACTTTTTATGGAGAAGTATGAAATCTAAAATTGGGGTTAATATAATTAAAGGCTTTTTGATTAAAATTTTGATGGCTGAAAAACGTGGTTTTTATTGGTATCTTAATTTAATAATCAAAAAAAAAAAAATATGTAAAATTAATATATATATATATTTTTTTTTTATCACCGAGAAACCCTCCAGTTCCTGCCGAACCATGTATCATAAGAAACAAAAAGGGGCTCTAAAAAAATTACGCCCTATTTCAGGTTCCTTTGTTGTACGGAATTTAATCGTCTCCCCCTTATTTGTATAATGATTATGATAGTCGAATAGAATAAACTTATTTTAGAATAGTCCAAAATATGATAAATTATTTAATTTGGTAAGAATTATCGTACAAGAATGCTTTTTGCCAAACAGGTTTGTTACACCTTTAAAAAATTTTTTTTTTTTTATTGAAACAAAGATAAAAAAAATTTCTTATTATTACCTTATTGACAAAAAATCAGGTTTATATATTTGCCATTCAATTTGATAGGTTTAGTCTTGGAACAAAAAAAGAAACCCCTCGCCAACAAAAATAAAAAAAAAAATAAAAATAATCTCTATAGATAATTACAAAGAAAGAAAGGAAATAAAAAAAAAAAAAGCCTTTAGGTATTTTTTACCTAATTTTCCTATTAAGGATTAATTCGAATATGAATTTAATCTTTATGTATTGTTTACATGACCAAATAATGTTTCAAAAAAAAAATATGGGCTGTTTTCAAAGATTTTCATTCCATCGATTACGATAAGCTTGCGTATATCAGCTTACGTGTACCAGCTTACGAAGACCAAAATTCATCACCTGACTGTAAATTTTAGATTGGTTGATCCGGTATAATATGCATGACAACAATAACACAAACTTACTGCAAAAGGAATGCTCTTAAAAGGCATAGCATGTAAATTTACATGGTTGGTGATTCCTATTTTTATATATATTTAGTGAGTGGTTTTAGATGATGAATAAAAACAATTATCTGGTAGAGGAGGTGACTCTAGCAATCATTGCCTTTACAGGATGAAATTAAAAGCGTGTGAAAAATAAGTTTTTTATTTTTTTAATTGAACCCTGTGTTACAAGTTACAACAATTGTAAAGTAAAGGGATGAAAAAAAAAATTTTTTTGACCGATATTAACCGAATTTGGCAGAGGGATCCCGAATCAGAAATCGTACCAACCAAGTATTGGTTTAGTCAATATTACAATATTCCAGGAAATAATGCTTTTTACACAAAAAAAATTTTGAATGATAAATAAATTAAATTATTTATTATTAAAAAAATAAAATTAAAAAAATCCAAAGAAATATTGAAATTATTAAAAAAACTTTTGTGGAATTTACATAATCGTAAAACACATCATAATTAAACGCGATTTTTTTTTTCATTTATCTTATTGAGGTAAATAGGAGAACAAGTTACGAAATCTTTTTGGACCAACCCAGGTCCCTTTCAATAATCTATTCCAATAAATTTCCGGAAGGACCTGAAAAAAAAAAAGGTTTATCGTTAAAAATTTACACGAGCAAACAAACAAATAGGTTAATGTTGTATCCTCCTAGCATACATACCTCTTTAGTTAACCAATACATAGAAGTTCTTTCTTCACCTTGATCAACGGGGAAAGTTTCCATCGGCGTACCAGTATAACCACTAAATTCCGCTAAAATCAACTTATCTCTTCCAACCAATAAGGGGCAACTGGCGTAACCATCGTACTTGGCAGCATTAGAAGAATTAAATTTACCCGATATATAATCTAATAGATTCTTTTTCAAGATCCCACTTTGAGAAGCAATGGCAGCAGCGGTTTTTGATGTAGGAGCGGAACTACTATCACCCAATGAAAATATATTCGGATATTTAACATGTTGTAAAGTATATTGATCGACGTCAACCCATCCTGCCGCATTTCCTATCCCCGATTGAGCAATAAAAGGTGGTGGTCCCATTGGCGGCACGACATGTATAAATTCATAATTATAAATTTTTTCTTCTCCGCTACCATCAGGTTTTTTAAATACGGCTTCTTTTTTATCACCACGGATTTCTGACAATTCTGTTAAAAAGTTCACTTCAATTCCTCGGTCTTTCGCGATTCTCGTAAGACTTTTTGCATATTTTTCTATACTAAATATTTTTCCCATTGCTGTGTTATAAATTACATTACATTTTCCTCTGATATGATTCTTATTAAAATGATCTTCTGCCATGTATGCTATTTTAATAGCAGCACCTGGACACTACACAGAGCCGTCAAGAAAATGTAAGTTATTGATTTATATATATATATATTTTGAAAGCAAGTCACCTTACCTTGATTGGGGTGCTTGGCATAGTAAAGATGGCATTTCCACCTCTAAATGCTCGAATGAATTCCCACGTCTTTTCAACAGTACTTTCAGAATAATTACTACTAACTCCATTTTTACCGAGAGATTCAGGAAGTCCTTTAATTTTATCCCAATTACATTGAATTCCTGTAGCTACAACCAAGTAATCATATTTCACCTATAAAAAAAAAAAAAAAAAAATTAAAAAATTAAAAAAAAACTAAATAAACTTTCTTTTAATTTTTTGGATTGTACACTCACTTGTTGACCATCTTTTAATGTAATTAAATTACCATTAGGTTCAATTGCTGTTACTTTATTTTTAATCCAAACGGCATCAGATGGCATAACTTGTTCTGTTGGTTTAGCCGAATCCGAAAATGGTTTAATTCCTGCACCAACAAATGTCCATAATGGTTGATACTAGAGTGTTTAAAGAAAATTATTTCATGAATGTATGAAGATTTTTAAATTGAATTGATTGTAATAATTTGCTTACGTAATGAAAATCGGATGGTTCGATTACTGCCACTTCATTTTTCCCAAGAACTTTGGACAATGTAGATGATACTGTAAAGAAAATTCAAAAAGTTCTCTTGTAAAGAAATGCTTTGGCTTAGTAAACCAAATTAAATCCGATCAATTGAAAATTTTACCTGCAAGTCCACCAGTTCCACCTCCTAAAGTAATTAAAAGTTTTAAATGATGATTGAATTAATTTATGTATATATGTGGTTATAATTATCAAAAATTTCGAGTTTTACTTACCAATAACCACCAATTTATAAGAAGGTATTTTGATATTAGTAGAGGCAAACCTCTTTACCAGAGTACTTGTACTTTCACAAAACAAATATCTACTTTTATTAGCAAACATTTTTTTTATTATTTTTTTAAAAAATAAATTTCTAGATCAAAAAAAAACGCGATCTTTATAATATCAACCGGTAACACAACAAAAATTTTGTCATAATTTAAAGAAATCACATCATTCTCATTAATCCTCTTACTAGTAATTTGAGACACACGGACATACTATAAGTGGGAAAATCATTGCTTAGAAATCAAACGTGACCTTCAAAAATTTTACCATTAGGGTTTTTTTTTTTTATCTGACTTCGGTCATATGATTCCGAGTTAGCCTCATTCATGTGAATCAACATTCATTGGATGAAGACACGAAAATATACGCGCGTTTCTTATTATCATGTGAATAATGAATGATTTCTTCCTCTCTTTCCAAACTCGAAAAAAAACATGGCTTGGTCGTTAACACAAGTTAAACGCGGGTTACAATTAGCTTGGTGGGGCTCATTATTAGCCTTTGAGAATCGTCATTTGCACAAACATACATATGTTAAAGCCTTTTGGTTTCTAGTCGTTTTCAGCATAACATTATATTTAGTCTCATCGATTCTTTTGATAATTCCATTGAAGTTACTTCAACTTTTCGTTTACTTATTTTCATTTGTATTTCATTATGATCATCATTTATACACCGAAAGTTATAATGCTTGGGTGACAAATTATGTATTCAATCTGCCTTTCTTGGGTTTATTGTTTATGAGGTATTTGTATCCAAAACCATTAGATTCTCTGTTCATAGAATCACTTCGCAATGTAGATACGAAATACTTGAAAAAACATCAGGGGGAACAAAATTTACGAGCATCATATGCGCCAGCATTAGAAAAATATCAATACGGACATGATACAGACGTATATCTGAAAGAAATGTTTCAATATTTAAAGCGAACATGGAACCAAATTAAGATCGCATTATTATTATATTTTCTTTCTTTATTACCTTATGTTGGTAAGATTGTATACCCAGCGGCAAGTGCTTATGCCCTTATTAATTCTCTTGGATATTTCCCCGCCATAACCGTTGGTGTGTTTATGTATATCATACCTGGTACAAAACCTTTTGCTATAATCTTCTTGGAAACTTTATATTCCTCTAGAGCTATGATGAGAGAATTGTTAGAACCCTATTTTGGTAGAATTCATTTTGATTCAAATGAGAGAAGAAAATGGTTTAGAGAAAGAGAAGGTATCTTATTTGGGTTCTCTATCGGTTTTTATCCTTTAGTTAGAATACCTTTACTTGGAATGTTATTCTATGGCGTTGCTCAGGTATAAAATTTTTTTTAATTTAATTTTGTTTTAAAAATAATTATACATTTAAATAAATTATTTTTTTTTTTTTTTTTATACCACAGTCTGCTACTGCTTTGCTGCTGGTTAAGACCTCAGAACCACCACCTCCACCTGGACTTGAATCAACTTACAAAATAGATTATCATTACGTAGATCCGAGAATTAAAAAGAAACAACAAAAGAATGAATGAATGAAAAATATTTAACATTGGTTATTAGATATTTTACAAAAAAAATTTAAAATATGTATTATAAATATTATTTTTTGTCCTTTTGCCATGGATCTTGTAGAAAAGATTTCTTATAATAAGCACTAATATCATGATCATTCCGTGGACGTTTCTAATGTAAAATATATATATATATATATATATAATTAATAAATCGTGAAGGTTAACGTTTCGGAAAAAAAAAAAAAAGTAAAAAAGATTTATTTATTGTAATTACCATTGGTGAGTTTCTATTATTATAATCGTTCCATCCACCTCTCTGCTTTTGTCCACTCCCATGGAATCCCCTATTTCCATAATTATTGTTATAATAATTACCACCATAATAATTGTTATAATAATTACCACCGTAATAATTATTATTACCACCACCATAATAATAATTATTACCTCCTCTCATTTGTGAATTGGGACCTCTCCAGTATTGGTCACCACCTTGTTGATAATGTGGTGGTTTGAGATTTGGGGGACAATATGGTGAAATATCTGCTATTTCTTCATAAGTGTTATGTAAAGAAGAAGGTTGCGGTTGAAATGACAGAAAAACGTTAGGAAGTGAGGGTAGAGAAGCGTTCGCTGACAATTCTTGTAAATCTGATTTCTCTGACATTTTTTTATATGGAAAAAAGAAACACTAATATTTGTTGGCATTATTCATAAAGTTAATTCCGATTTGTTGATGATCGCCCACCTGTATTTGATGATCATCCCACAGTTTATACAACTTCACGATAACTTTCTGTATGTCTGATAAATATAGTCGTCGTCGCGATTCGCCATTAGTAAAATTATCAAAATCGTTATCGTACGTTCTTCGTCATGGTGCACAAAAGGAAGGATTAAATATTCGTGCAGATGGATATGTTAATTTGCATGAATTGGTATATATTCTTTCTTTCTTCCGTTCTTAATTTTAGTCAATTGCCATAAATATTTTTTTTTTTTTTTTGTAGATGAGGTTACCTAGGTTTAAAGGAAGAACACTCGATGAAATACAACAGGTCGTAAAGGAAAATGATAAACAAAGATTTACTCTTATACAACAAACAACTGAAAGTGGTGACATAGTATGGTGGATAAGAGCTAATCAAGGACATAGTCTAGAGGTATTCATTACCCTTTACTTTCACCTTGTCGATATATGTATTGTCTTTTCCCTATAGTGTATTAAAAATTTTTAAAAATTTTAAAAATTGAAATTTTCTTTTTTAGGTGGAGGAATTGGAACTAGAAAAAATAACAAATCCTTCACAAATCCCCCAGGTTATACATGGAACCTATTCAAGTAAATGGAAAATTATAGGTAAATTGAAATGTGATCAAATGTATATGGATGAAAAAAAAAAATTTTTTTTAAATTTTTTTTATATAAATATTTAGAAACTCAAGGACTTTCCAAAATGAATCGTACTCATATACATTTTGCTACTGGAAAATGGGGCGATCAAAATGTGAAGAGTGGTATGAGAGCAAATTGTGATGTGTATATATATATCAATGTATATGAAGCTATGAAAGGTTTGACTGACTTTTTTTTATTTTTAAAAAGTATCTGTACATTATTTCGCTAAATCTAACCTATATATTTATTTATTTAGATGGTATAGAATTTTATAGATCTTCTAATGGAGTCATACTTACAAAAGGAGATAAGGGAACTTTGGATAAAAGATACTTTCTTAAAGTAGTTGATAGGAATGAAAAAATTTTATATGGTCAAAGTGATTCTGTGATTCTAACGTTATGAAGAATATTTGATGAACGGGATCATGAAAAGTTAATCAAGTAGTATTTTTTTTTTTATTAGCAAACATTTCTTAATCTTATAATTTCTATAAAACTATTAATGTAATCCTTTTATTTATTGATAAAAGAAGATCATTATAAGATGTTAATAATAAATTGTAAATCTAATTTTAATTAATATTGGGGGATTCTTCTTAACCTAATGTGTACAATACATAATGCATAAAATATAATGAATAAAATATTTATAGTAAAAAAAAAAAAAAAAAAAAAATGATAAATAATTATAATAAATCTTAAAATCAATTTTTTTTTAATTTATAACCTTTAAAATTATTACAGTATATTATTAATCTTAACTTTTTATAATTAATTTATGTATTATATACTGTAAATATAAACATTTTACAATAAAAAAGAAAAATTTAGTAAAATAAAATAAATTTTACTTTTATGATTTTTTTTTTTTTTAATAATTAAATATTAATTCAGTAGAGCAAAAATAAGGGTTCTGAGGTCAAAATCCGAAAATTATATTCAAAAAGGTCCCTAGCTATATTTCTGAAGCCTTCTAGCTATAAGAATCTACTATAGAATTTTAAACTATAGTCAAAATTTGAGCTTTTCCCACTATCCAAATATTTGATATCAAATTTAGTATTAAATTACCCTGTAGGATATCAAGAATAAATCCATCTCTTATAACCTTTCTAGTCCAATTTTAATCCCAAATAATATATCAAAAAAAATATACCATTCTATTTGGGTTTGAGACGATGCGAGATTGGCAAGAACTGAAGGTTCAAAGTCAAACTTGTGAAGTCTCTACAAACCTTCTATGTATACTATTATTTATGCTATTCTAGAATTAATTCTAAAACTGATTCATTGATGAAATCAAAGGGTTACTAAGTCTAATATTCAGTATCCATATGCTAAATCTAATCTCTTTGAGGTTAGATTTAGCGGTTATCTAATTCATAGTTTAAGAAGCTATAGAATATATTCTAATATACTAATATTTTTTCAATATGCAGGAAACCTTTCTAAAGCCATTTCCTTTACGTAAACATAAAGTTAAAAAATCTAACTTCAGGTGGTTAGAGGTTAGACCTCACTACTAAGTCATACGAAAAATTACACCTTTAAGTCTCATGCAACGCACCTTTGACCCTTTAAAATATATATGATAAGTCTCATGCAATACGCCTTTGATCCTCTAAGTCTCACCTGAAAAGTATACCTGATCTAATTGCCTAGCCTTATTCTAAAGCTTGTTTATATAATGGATTTGATATTTGCTCTTATTATAATTGCTACATAAACCATTATCTATTCCTGTAGGTTATCTACCTTTGTAGACTTATTATAAATAGAGTACAACTGACGTTTCCTAATTTCATTTTCTCATAAATTTGAAAATAGAAACAAAAGTAATTAAACAAAAGGGGTTATAGGATTAAATATTTTAAATTGAGTAAAAGTCTACCTGATATATTAGAGGTTAGACTTAAGTTAATATCATAACAAGAGCGGATAAAAAAAATTGTAAATGCACTTGCTGTGTCAAAGTTTTAGCCATATTACAAAAGCTTCATCAGCATTATGCAAGTATAAAAAACCAATGTCGTCTACCTTTAATATCATCCAACCTTGTACAAGATACTAATCCATAGGTCAAAGACTAAGAAAATCTTATTTCCAGACTCTGAACATTATCTTTCACTCCAGTAATTCATATTCAAGAAAAGGATCGAAGAAGGAAGAAATTGAATCTATTTCTAAAATAAAAATTTCATTCTGCAAGATAAAGATCAAGAAGGTGATTCTGGTCTATCAACCTAAACATATAGAGAAAGAAAACCTAGTAAGGTCTCTCTGAAGGTAAGTATATTAATAAGCACGCAAGAAAGCCTAGAGAGCATTTAAAAACATGTAATACAAGATTATGCTAAAGATAGGTTAAAGTTATTAGTAAAAAACGTGATTTGCCACTAAACTTAAAAGAATGTTAGCATCTATATTATTATCTATTACAGGCAGACAAAGAGGTTTTTGAAGAAATTATTTCTCAAGAGAAAATACAAACCCCTACCACATAGATTGAAGAACAAGTAGGAGAAGCAAGTTCCAATCCAACTACCTAAGCATATAGAGAAGAAAAGCAATAGAAGCCTCATCTTATATAAATACAAAGTAGTTTAAAACTATATTTTCATGGCATGGTAAGAGTTTTATTATTAACAAAGAGGCTAAAAAATGGAATCAGAAGCAACATGATCCTGATGAAGCTAGGCTTCTAATATTAGCTGAAATTAAACAGAAAGAAGAAAAGAATAGGTTGCAAATAATAGAAAACCTTCTATTAACCAAAAAGCAAGAATATGAAGCAGAAAAGAAGTATGCTTCTGGAAATCATTTCTAATCGATTTATTATGAAAAAAGGAAAATATATGATATTGGAGCATATAAATAAAAGAAGTAATAGTTAGGCCTTCCGAAGGGGATATAGTATTCTTAAAAAGGCAACGTAATTCTACTAAGCAACATAGCTCTTTAAAACAGATGACTATATGGGAGGAAGTCATTCCTTCATGCAAAATCCTACATATTCTTTCAATAAAAAGTAGGATAATTTGATAGAATATACTAATGCCTATATATGCCATAGCTTATGGCATCAGCCCGTTATGCAATTATAAGTATTCTCTAAGAAGAGCTACACAGAAAGGATCAAATAAAATTAGCATTAGTCATATATGCTACATATATAAAATATACATATAAAGGAAAGGGTGATATTGTAGACCCTGCTAACTATAAAACCAGTTATCACCATCCATATCATAGAGATTCAATGTAAGAAATCCTTTCTAAGAAATATATAGATAAGCACATAACTCTTTCTGGTGAAGAAATTAATAAAAAAATCAAATCCTACCTAAAAGAAGAGTTTGGCAAAATTCTTCTCTGAATAGAAATGGTATTGATTGAGTCTTATATTCTTTGCTATACTCATAAAAGTTCATACATCCTATTCCTAAAAAGCTTGCCAACAAAAAGTGTACTATCAACTCAGAAAATTCAGACATTATTGATCTAGTTACGGGTAAGTTAACAGATAATTATCTTTGAGAAACATTAGGTTATTATTTCGCATATTAGGATGGAATTACAGACCACCTTGGTAGATATATATATCAGGCAAATGTTAAAAATATTTAGAAAAAACCAAGCTTGATGGGATTCCAATGTCAACTCCTGTCTGTTCACGAATCTTTAATAAGATAGAGGAGATGAATCCAGATATCTTCATTAATGTTTAAAAATAGAATGAAGAAACTATATGCTCAAAACCTATAATTACCAGTAAGAATTTCTATATTCTAAATTCATGTAAAATAGAAAATTGTAAGTATAATAATCTGAACGAATATTATGAAAAAAGACCGCATGTAATTCATCTTATGGTTTTTATAAATATAACCCAATCTGAAAAAAGTAAATACAGGTAAAAGAATCACTTCCTTTGGATCAAAAATCTGGATAGCTTAATATACAAAAATTCTGCTTATAGTAATAAGAAGCATTTATGCAATCAATGCTTCTAGAGTTGGTCAATAGAGAAATTCTTAGTCCATCACCAGGAGTGGTGTTTCAGATTAGGGAAAGCTTCTCAATGTATTACAATACTCATAAAAGATATAAATGACTTTGAGAAATTCAAGAATCATAGGAGAATGATCAATACCTCATGTGTGATTTCAGCTGACTTTAAGGCTGAAAATAAGAAACGTGAACTAATTAATAGAAGAAAGATTTATCTAATTTTAGAGTAATATGCTAACAGTTTCTGCTATACAATCTATTAGATTGATACAGGTGAGACATAGAGACCTTTTCTATACCATAAGCTAAATACTACACAAGAATTCATTTGAAGGATTGATCAGGAGTTAGTAAAAATTAATAAGGTCTTAGCCATTAAAGTAAAGTGAATTATTACAGATGAAAATAAAAAACAATTCGCAGAAGTAGATAGCTGTTAGATCTGTAAAGGTAAATTCGCTATAGATAGGAAAAAGGTTAGATATTTGGAAAATAAGTCTGTCCAGCTTAATAGAAAGCTAGAAAATACTGCTAAGGATTCAGAAGAGTGTAAATTCATAAAAATAACTATTCTTAAAGTAGCCAAAGAAATTGATCTAGCTGAATCTAAGAATGATAAGGTTTAGGATTATTGTCATATTTCAGGTAAGTTTTGTAGACATCATATAAGTCCTGCAATCTTAAACTTTAGATTGAATCATGAAAGACTCTAATTCCAGTTGTATTCTATAACTTTTGGGAATATGACTTTCATTTAGTCTATGAATCAGTTAGGCAGTCTGTTAATACCTATCAGATTAGTATTATTGCTAAGATATTTGAGCGATATAAGTTCATGAAGATAGGTCAGCTCAAATATATTGATAGCCAATAGTTTATGAATGATAGCTTGGCTAATCTCACAAAGTATCTGGGAAATAATCATCTAGTAACTAGTAAATATTTTAAGAGTAAAGGCTATACAGATAAATAAATAGCTTTAATGTATCATAAGGGAATATACCTATATGACTATATAGATTCTCACAAAAGATTCTTGGAGACAGAATTTCTTTCATTTCATGAATTTTATAGTCAGCTTAAGGGGGATATTTCACAAGAGGATTATAAATATGTCTAAAAAGTATGAAAAGAATTTGGATACAAAAATCTAGGTGAGTATCATAATTTATATCTTATGTCAGACGTACTCAACCTTACCGATATCTGGACTAAGTTTTGAAAAACATTTATGAAACATTATGAGCTTAACTCCAGCCACTATGTATCTGCTCTATCATTGTCTTAAGTTGCTATGCTTAATTTACTGAAGCTAAAATTAAGCTATTCACAGAAATGGTTATGCAAAACTTCATCAAAAAAGCTAAGCATAGTAGTATTGTTATAGTAATG